GCCGCCGGGATGAGCCGCCCCCTGGACACCAGCCTGCGCCTCAAGACCTTCAGCTCCAAGAGCGAGTACCAGCTGGTGGTGAACGCCGTGCGCAAGCTGCAGGAGAGCGGCTTTTACTGGAGCGCCGTGACGGGCGGCGAGGCGAACGTGCTGCTCAGCGCCGAGCCCGCCGGCACCTTCCTCATCCGCGACAGCTCGGACCAGCGCCACTTCTTCACGCTCAGCGTCAAGACGCAGTCGGGGACCAAGAACCTGCGCATCCAGTGCGAGGGGGGCAGCTTCTCGCTGCAGAGCGACCCGCGCAGCACGCAGCCCGTGCCCCGCTTCGACTGCGTGCTCAAACTGGTGCACCACTACATGCCGCCGCCGCCGGGCGCCCCCGCCTTCCCCGCGCCCCCGACGGAACCCGCCTCCGAGGTGCCCGAACAGCCGCCCGCCCAGCCGCTCCCCGGGAACCCCCCCAGGAGAGCCTATTACATCTACTCGGGAGGCGAGAAGATCCCTCTGGTCCTGAGCAGGCCGCTCTCCTCCAACGTGGCCACCCTCCAACATCTCTGTCGAAAGACCGTCAACGGCCACTTGGACACCTATGAGAAAGTCACCCAGCTGCCTGGCCCCATTCGGGAGTTCCTGGACCAGTACGATGCGCCCCTTTAAGGGGCAAAGGGCAGGGGTCGAGCGAGGGACCTGGGTCCCCTCTCCTCCGTGGCACATGGCACAAGCACAAGAATCCAGCGGAGAGAGTCCTGCCACCCTGGGTGAGCCCAGGGGTGGACCGGCCCCTCCCTCGGGCCCTCCCCCTGCAGAATGGGGCAGGCGGGGCCTGGAATGTGTTGGAGGGCAGGGGAGTGCCACCTGGGCGCCCCTCCCCCACGCCGGCCCGATGGCCCGAAGGGACCACTTCAGCGACAGCATTGGATTGATTCTCCTCTCCTCTCCGCTTCCTTGAACTAGTGAGAACTGCCGGGAATCTGTAAACTTTCCGAAGGAACTTGTTTGCTCTTTGATTTGGTTTTAAACATGGCTTTCATCCTGAGCACGTCTCAGGCCTGGGAAAGGGTGGACCGGAGAGGGCGCCCGGGGCCCCAGGGCTACAGGCAGGCCAAAGAAATGGCCACTCCCACCGCCAGCCCAGGTGAGGAGGGTGGCTCCTCCCCCGGCTCTGGAGAGAAGGCCAAGGGGTGACCTGAAGGGTACCACTCTGCTCCCTCCCCCTTGGGGCAGCCACCAGGAAACACAGGTCCTAGAGTCCACTGAGGGCTCAGCAGCCCAGGGCCCTTCCCCCGTTTTAAGGGGGAAGTGGCATTTGGAGGGGGAGGGATGGACGGGCTGGTCAGTTCTCCCCCCCCACCCTCACACTATACCTCCCAGCACCTGGGAGCTGGGGGGATGGAGGAGATGAGCCATCTTCGACCCCTGATCCTGGCCAGAGAAGATGGAGGATTCTGCTTTGTGCCTCCTCCTATGTCTGGCTCGGAGATTTGCCTTAAACGCTCCCTGTCCCGTGGATGGGGACTGGCACACAGAACCACACACTCAGCCGATCCAGGCGAGGCCAAGGGATTCTCAGAGGGCAGGCCGCTGGCCACAGTGCGGGACGGGGGCGGGGCAGAGGTGGATGGCCACCCCTTCCCGCTGAGCCTGTCACAGGTGCCTCCTGGTGCCTGGGCTCTGGCCCGAGCACAGCCACCAGGCCCCCCACAGCCCCAGGCCCTGCACAGCGCTCCCTCCTCACCTGGGGACGGGATCCTGCGTGGAGCCATCCGTCGGAGGCCGGGGCACCTGCCACCACAACAGCACTGATCGGTGAAAACTCACAGGAATGTAGCAGCGATGGAATTACCTGGAATTGTTTTTCTGGGGGGTGGGGGGAGAACTAAACACAGTTTCCTGTGTTGGGTATTGGTCTGGATGGGGCAGCTGTGTGTTGGGGTGTTTTTTTGTGTTTTGTGTGTTTTTTTTCCTCGTTATTTTGGTTTTGTTTTGGGTTTTGTTTTTTTTTTTGATGATGTTTACAACCTGCCTCACTCTGTCTTTTATAAAGATTCCACCTCCAGTCCTCTCCCCTCCCCCACCCAGGCCTTCAAGGCTGTTAGGAGATGCTTGAACTCAACAAAATACCAATCCAAGTCAAACTTTGCACATATTTATATTTATATTCGAAAAGAAACATTTCAGTAATTTATAATAAAGAGCACTATTTTTTAATGAAAAACATGACTTGAGCCTTTCTCCCTGCCGCCCCCCCCCCCCCCGCCCCCCCTTCTCTGCCTTGCTTTCTCTTTCACACACACCCACACTCCGTGCCCAGGGGAGGAGGGCGGGCGGGAGCGCCACCCTCCCCAGCCCTGCCCCCTTGCGGCCCTGGCGTCCTCGGCTCCTCTTCACGTCACTTACAAGCTCCGGCAGCCCCGAGACTGTACCGAGAGGGTAATTCCTGCTCGTCTGATTCAGATCTGACCAGAATATGCAAAGCAAGTTCGAAGGAAGCGCTTCAAAGCGCTTGCAGGGAGCGAGCTGAGCTGTGGTCAAAGCTTTTAGAGGCTCCGAGCTATTAGAGGCGCTTGGCTCTTTGGCAGGGAGGTTTTCCGAGAAAGCCAGACTACAGGGTCCTGGTGATGACCCCTGACCTCGGCGCAGCTGGGTTCACGGCAGGTGGGGCTCTCCCCAGGGGCTCTGCTCCCCACTCCACCTCCGGCTCCCCACCTAGTTCCTTGGAACCCCAGCCTGAGCCGTGGGTGGGGTGGTCCCCGACCATCTCTTCCTCTAGCTCTTTGCTCACTCCCACCCCCGGGGCCCTTGGAGGCCACCTGGATTAGCCTTCCCAGCCACCCCCACCAGGCTGATGTTCTCACCCCACATTCCCAGGCACGGCTGTGTGTCCACGGGAGCAGGGACTTGGACCGGTCACTTCTGATGCCTAGAACGGTGCTCAGTCAATATTTGTGGACTCGTTGGGGGCAGCCACTCGGGTTCACAGAGGTGAAGCGACCTGCCAAGGACACGCCATTTGGGAATGTGGGAAAGACACAGGGGTGACCCTAGGAGCAGTCTTCCCGAAGCCCCGAGTACACGCCCAGGGCTGCCCTTGGGTGGAGCGCCAGGAGGTAGTGGCACCACCACCAGGATGCGGGTCTCAGCACTAAGGCTCTGCAAAAAACAAACAAAAAAGACCTTTCCTGTGGCATTTCCTCCCCCAAGCCCCCCAGACCCGACAGGTGGAGGGATGACTGGCAGCCCCAAGTCAGGGGCTGCGTCCCCATCCCTGAGCCGCAAATGCCTGAAACATGCCGGCCCCCAACGAGCTGCCCCAGGACCCAGCGTCCAAAAGGCACCCGAGAGCAAATAAACAACGTTGTGTTTCTTTCCCATTTCCTGACCTTTTGGGGAAAATAACCTAAAGTGACCAGGCCCGGCGTCACTCCGTCCGCTGAGTGGACAGAGTACGTAGGAACCACACGAGGGAGACCCCCGCCTCTGCGACTGGGAACACAGACCAGATAACGATAACGTCACCTTCCCAGAGCACCAGGTCAGGGGAGGGGACCCAGTGGGCCTGGCTCCGCAGGGCCTCCCGGGAGGATGAGCGCCTGGCAGGCTCTTCCCGGCCCTGGGCCTGCCAGTCGGCCGCCATCTGCCTTCCAGGGTACCTTGAACCTGGAGCACACGGAGGCCCCCTCCCGGCTCAGGAGGCAGCTGTTAGCCGGGGTGTCCAGGGACCACAGGACCCTAACAAAATGGAGTGGCCTGGACCCCTGGCTGAAGGAAGACCCCCTGACCCCTTTCCCTTGATGACTACTCCAGCCTCTCCCCATCTCCTCTTCTGTCTCCTCCATTTCCAGCCCACAGACTGGGCGACCCTCTGGTTTTGCACACTGAGGCCCAGAGAAGGAAAGCAACTTGCTTCAGGTCACACAGCAAGCGAGTGGCCAAGGCAGAGCAAGAATCCCTCCCAGAGCCCCTCTCCTCCTCCTCCTCCTCTCCTGCGGCAAAGATCTCCCAGTTCTTTCAGGGGCAGACACCCCCACCTCCAAAGGACTTAATGGGGGGCTCTCTGCCCTGGCGCTAGAGGAGGGGTTCCGCCTGCTTCCAGGATTTGCTGAGAAGCATCCTGCAGGGCGTGGGGACAGTTCCCGGTGGCTTCAGCAGGTACCAAAGCCTCCGTGGCTTTAAGAAGAGGACAGCTGGGGTCCCCTGGCCCCTGGACGGGGGGAGCTCGCCACTCCCACCCTGTGCCCTCGCTGCTGTGGACTCTGTAAGAACCCACCCCCAAGAGGCCCCAGCCTCTCTCCCGCGGCGCCGTTCGA